TCAGTTGGGATATGTTTAAAGAAATTAGAATTTATCCAATCAGATACTATGCACTCAACAACAATAATGATGATATACATTGATTGCCATAGGAAATATCTATGAAAAATGTAATGTGTATTTAAACTAACACGTAGAATATGCCTTTATTGAAGTACAAAAAAGTAAATGTGTGTGGATGCCCACACACCACAAATGCACTGAAATGCTTCCTCATCAGTATTGCTAGTCTTTACCCAAACCTAAAGAAGATGTGCCAGTTTGCCCGATAACTGAGTAGAAACTGCATTCAGCTCTTCTGCAGTCTGTCAGTAGTTGTAGGCAAGGAGATATTACCCGAAGGACAATTGGAAAACAGAATTTTGGCATCTTTGGACCTCAAGCTCAGATTACTTATGACGTTAGAGAGGGCTTCTCACCATCTCAGTCTTTATAATTCCCAGCCTCTCCTCCAATCTTAGATAGTCAAATACAAGGACAGCAGTATTGAGGACAAGAATAAACTAAAATAATAATTATTCCATTTCAATTCTGTATAAGATAACTACCCATAACATGAAGCAAGATATGGCTAATTTTAAACATAATTTTAGCCCCTGGTTAAAAAATTAAATGTGGAAACTCTGGAGATGTAACTCACATGCTGCTGTTCAAAAGCTGAAAAGCCATGGTTTAAGAATTAATTCAGTCAAATGGCTGCCTTTCATTAGCCATTTTCTCCCTGCAGGTTAGCCTTGGGGAAGTTGTCCTCCCCAGTCAAATTTTCTATAGATGAGCTATAGTAGAATCTTAACTAGTTTTGGAATATCAGTCCCTGGAATTGTTGGTCCAACTCTTAGTGAGATTTTGGACTACAAACCTGAAAGGATAGCACTGTGTGAACCTTTTCAGGAATGAGGCGTTTGTAATAAGTCAAGATGAAATTGCTTAATCTCAAAATCGATTAGCTTTGGGAATATAGTTAAATGAAACAATAATTCATAAACTTTCTAATTAGTCTTTTCTAATTTGTGTTAAAATCCAAAAGGAATGATATTGGATTATCTGCTCTTTTGAATTAAATATCCCTGTGTGCCTCTCCATTTGCATACATGAGTAAGGCTTTACCATAATATACAGAATATGGAGAATTTTTCCTTCTAAAACTTGTTAACTTCATTTACCCCAAAGAGTAAACTATATTCTGGACTATGAACTTGAATGGAGTTTGTTTACTGATCAGCTAATCCAAAATTATCCAGGCATGAATCCTCAAGAAAAATTTTATTGACCTATTTCCCAGTTTGCATAAACTAGCAAGCAGCAAGGAAGAGTAAATTGAGAGTCATAGCTAGTCAAGACTGTATAACTATTTAATGTATTGTTTATATATTTCATCTGGCAAATTTTTTAGAATTGTTTCAGTTCTATAAATTCTTTATTTGTTGCATTTGGTTATACTAAGTAGTCAAATGTATTTGTTAATGATACGAATTGTATCTGGGTAGTCGCTATCATGTATAACTTTAGGTACTTAAATTTAAAATTATTTTGAAGGGATATACCATTAATCTAGAACAACCCTGCAGCTATGTGATTCATTACAAGCTCTAGGAAAAGAGTTAGCAGCTCTCTTGTGGGATTCAGATGTGAGTAGAATAGTGTCATTAGTCCTGTAGTTCCTTCCTCTGGTGCTATTAACCATTCCCAGGAGAGAAGGAAAAACGTATAATGCCCATTGCTTATCAGAGCTTTGAGGTCCGTAAATAATTATACCTTCTTGCTTTCAAGTACAGTAGGATGAGGAAGCATATTGCCACTGCTAATAAACTACATTCAAATTAAAGTCTCTAAAGTAACAAAATAGTGTTTCACACATGCAAAAGAATCATGGACACTCAGTTTTTTAAAGACGTTTCTAATTTCAATTGCCAAAATCAGTTTTTTTTTTGTTTCGATGTTTTATTTTCAAAGAACTATTACCTTCATAAACTACTGAAATTTTAAATTAAATTAAAAATTGAAATATATACATTTGAACCTTGAACATCGTGGGGTTGGGGCACCAATTCTCCACACAGTTGAAAATCCCTGTGTAACTTTTGACTCCCAAAAACCTTAAATACTAATAGCCTACTATTGATTGGAAGCCTTACTGATAACATGAACAGTCAATTAACACATAGTTTATACGTTATATGTATTATATACTGTACTCTTACAATAAAGTAAGTTAGAAAAAAGAAAATGTTAAGAAAATCATAAGGAAGAGAAAACACTTTTACAGTATTTATTGAAAAAAAAAATCTCCATAGTGGACACATGCAGTTCATACCCATGTTGTTCAAGGGTCAACTGTATTTTAAATGATACTCCAATTTAAAATGGAAGAACTGGAGATTGGAAAAAACAAAAGAAATGAAATTAGAGAGATACAAAAGTTTGAAGTTCTGTTTCAGGACTCCTTGAACCAAACACTTGGCAGCTCCCCAAATCATGTTAATTGCCTTTTTGTGTATACATTTCCATATGCTGACTCATAGTTTTGGCTTAAAATGCAGTTATTGTAACAAAACTGGGAATATTTAGATATTCTTTCCTTTTGTGCCTACCTTATGGAACCAATAGTTTCTGAACACAAACTTATTTTATCTATAAAATGTGTTTCTAAAATATTATCAGTGTTTGTAAAATAGAGATAAAATAAAGAACAGTATGACTGCCTTTAAAATATCATGATAATGAAACTGAAGTTAAATACATTTTAAATCCCCTACTCCCTCAGATGAGACTCATGTTGAGCCAGAGTTGTAGAAAGCTTAACCTTTAATATCATGAGATGCCCAGGGCACCTTGACCCCCAGACCAACCTGTCTAATACCCTGAACTGAAAAGAATCAGCCCCTGAAGACTGGGGAACCGGGCTAGGTTCCTCAGCACGCTACCCTCTTCCTTCTTCAGGATGAAGTCATCACTCCCTCTTACCCTGACATTGCCATATGTTGCAGCTTTGTGTTTAATAGTTTCTCTAGAACATAGAAATTTGTCATTCTGTTTAATATGCTTATTGATTTTAGTCAGCGATAGAATGGTTGGAATATAAAAAAATAAGATGTCATGACAACAAATTAATGACCAATTACCATGTGCATTTGCCATATGTTAATAAAATTTGAGAGTAGCTGTTTTTCCTATTTGGATGATCGGATATTCCTTTTATGTAAGCCAACCGTAAAAATAAAAACTGACTCACATTCTCAGAACTTAATAAATACCAGATATGTTCTAAACTGAATGACTATATGATTTTCAGATCGCTTTTATTTCTGCATACTTTTTATTAGGTTTACCATAAATCGGTATTTTGGAACAAAACCTAGATTTCGCTCTAAAAAGAAATCGGAAATAAGAGTGAGGCCAGCTTAGAAGTCAATACTGGTTGTCCTGGTTGTTTTCCTTTCCTTCAGCATTCCTCAGAATCTCTGCAGCAGAGGCAGTGACAGAACTGGAAGGGTTTACCCAGAGCTGTGAATGATATAAGACAAAAAACAGAAGGGGTTGGGAAATAAAGCAGTATTTAAATGGGGCCAACTTGGAAAGAGAGAATGTGAGAAGTCAACAAGTTCCCAAGACTTGGCTTCAAATGAACCTTGTAGCCTTCTCTCCTGCCACCTTCCATTCCCTCCACTCACCAAAATCAGGGGCTACCTCCACTTCCTAGCCTTTCTGCTATGTGTCTCTCCATGTCCAGACTCTCCCTCTCCCATTCTTTCCTCACTATTTCTTATTTATCCTTCAAGAATCAACTCAGGACTCTCCTTCTTGTAGGAGCCTTCTATGATTCCCACCATTTTGTATCACGTGTCCTGGCTGTAGGTACTCAGTGAACTCCACATATTTATCTTGGTATTTACCACATTCAACTGGAATTATTTAATGCTCAGGTCTTTCTCTCCCATTACACTATAAGGTCTTTGAGAAAAGAGTGATTTATTCATCATAACCATCTTGTAACCTGGTATCGTACATAGTCCCTGGCAAATAGTAGGCATATAATAAATGTGCATCTGAACTAAAACCAAAATGTGAGCTTTCAGCTTTCTGCAAGGAAATGTATTGATCCGAAGAATCATTGACTTTATTCTTTATTTGAATTATCACATATGTCTCGACATTTTAAGTGGCTTTCCAGAAATAAACTGTGCCCAAGAATATGACCATGTTTCAAGAGCCTCTTTAGGTGCATTTCTCTGTGTGCGTGTGTGTGTGTGTAAGTGTGTTTAAGACTAACACTTTTTAAAAAGCATTTCTCCAACATGAACCATAAGGCAATAATTTTTGAAGCTTCTGCTTTGACCCCTTTCAAACTTGAATTACATAATTTTTTTGATATTTTTGAGCATAGATTAAATATATCAGACAACAAATTAATGCCTTAGAAAATATACTTAGGACATAGGTAAAGTATTGTAAAGCAAAATATAAGAAAGGAAGTCCAGTAAATGGAAGGTTTGGAGAGGGTATGGCGTGAGTATATTACTAATGAATCTTTGAGATTTATCCAGTATCCAAGAAAAAATTGTATATAATGTGAGGATCTATAACTTTCATAGAATCTCAGGCTGAAATTAATTTAAATGCTCAAGTGCTTTAGGTGGTATTTGTGGCATGGTGGAGGTGTTTTGGTCTGATTTTGTTTGATATTCTACTTGGAATGGGTGTGCATCTCTATATGGCACCTGTACTTGTCAAAATATTTGTCTCTTCATCAACAGCAAGCACATAGCAACTTCTTTGTGACTTAAGCCAACACTGATTTTCAATTTGGAAATAGGAGTCAAAGCTTGAAACTGGTAACCAGTCAAAGACAACAATGCTGGATATTTTTAAATTTCCCGAGTGGGCTATTAGCTGAGGAGCCATTATTCAAAAGCTGTCTCTTTCACTGGTACTATTTAGAGCTGAAAAAAAAAAATGGAATTAGTCTAACCCATAACTCTTTAATCTCTTCTCTTCTTTAGTGGGATTGGAAGGAACTGGCCCTGGGCCTCAGGAGGCAGCAGTATTTTGGCAGAATTTGGAACTTTGCATCTGGAGTTTATACACTTGAGCCACTTATCAGGAAACTCCATCTTTGCAGAAAAGGTGAGATTCTCCACTACGCCTTGCATTGCAAAGCAGTGCTTGTGAGAAAGCATATTCTCTCCTGAGAGATTTAGTAATATTGGATGTGGAAAAGAACAGCCAAATTTAATATAGCTTTTAATGAAGTTTTCTTATGTGCAGCCTTTCATTTAACCAAACCGTAAACTCCTGGTCTTTCTCTGGCACCATTAATAACTCAGTGTGAGAGGGCCCAGCTTGCACTTCTGATTCTCTGCACCTCAAGTGGGTCACTTTACCTCTCTGAATTGTTTTTTCATATTTCAAAAGATATAAGGTTGTATGGACTATATGAACCAAGTATGTGAAAGACTTTTTAAACCCAAGGCATTATATAAATGCAAGGTAGCAATTGAATCAATTTCTAATTTTTAAGAAACAAACCTATAGACATTTGGATAAATTCATATTCACTCTATCATTCTGCCCTTAGCTTTTACCTTACTTCTCAGCTCCCCTTTACAGCAAAATTCCTTGGAAGAATTATCTCTGTTTGTTATCCCCTCTTCTTATCTGTCGCTCTCTTGAACACTTTCCAGTCGGGCTTCTGTCCCAGCTACACCTGTCACGGTGACCAGTGAGCACCACACTTCCAGATGCAGTCATTATTCTCACCTTTCATCTTCCTTGCCCTCAGCATTTGATGCATTCAGTCACGTCCATCGCCATGAGATGCTCTCTACCCTTTGCAGCAGGCATGGGATACTCCCCTGGTTTGCCTCCTTCCTTTATGAGTGCTCCTTTTTCAGTCTTCTTTCTGGGATCTTCCTCATCATCCCAACCTCTAAATATTGGAAATTCCTAGGTCTCTTCCTTTTATGTTCACTTACATTATTTCATCCAATCTCATGGCTTTATTATATACTATCTATATGCTTTTGACTCCAAACTTATAATTCTAGTCCCAACCTGTCCCCTGAACTCCAGACCCCATATATCCAAGTACCTATTCAATATTTCCACTAAGAGCTATGATGGACAGCTCCCACTTAAAATGTCTCTGACTCAACCCCTCAGGCCAGCTTCTACTCCAGTCTTCGCTATTTTGGTACCTGGCACCTAATTTACCCAGTGGCTCAGACCAAAATTCTTGAGATGACCCTTGTTCCTCTCTTTCTGGTAAACTTCAGGTTCAATCCATCAAGAAATCCTTGGGTTCTATCCTGTTAACCTTTGCTGCCACCCTGGTTCAAGATTCTATCATCTCTTCCCTAGACTCGGCAGTGGCCTCCTGACTACCCCTTCCTCTTCCTCTCTTGCACCCTAGTCATGCCGATACCGTAAAAACACAGATCTTCAATGGCTTCCCATCACACTCAGAATAAAATAAGCTCTCATGACCTGCAAAGCCTGCATAGTGTGAGCCTGGCTACCTGTCTTCCAGCTTCAGTGGCTGTTCCAAACCCACTCTCTTCTCAGGCTTTTGTAGTTGCTTCTCTCTCTGCCCAGGTAGTTCTTCCTCCAGTTTTGTGCATTGCTTGCTCCTTCACTTTTTAAAATTTCTGCTCAAACACTCTCTCCTCAGCCTCCCCAGACCACCTCAAGTAACAGTTCAACCTCACCACCTCACATCACTCTGTCCCGTTACCCTCTTGTATTTTTTTTCGTAGCATTATTACCACATGTTATAATACTTACATTGCAAATATTGTATTTCTTTGTTTATTATCTGTCTAATCCCACTAGAATGCAAATTCCAAAAGGGTAATGACTTTGTTTATCCACTGATGTATCCCTAGTTCCTTGTTTGGCATCTGGCTTATGGTAGATGAGAGTGACTATGTTCACTTACTGCCTATTATTTTTGCATGCTGGTAGCAACTATCTTTGTTCTAATTCTGCATCATTTAACACAACTTTTTTTTTCTAACATGGAAAAATGTAATCAAGAAAGAGAGAAGAATGGCACCAGAATTGTTTTTTATATTTGTGTAGTAACATTTTGTTTTCTATTATAGGTAATGAATATTCGAACAGTACTAAACAACCTGGAAAAACCACAAGGCCTTTATCCTAACTATCTGAATCCCAGCAGTGGACAGTGGGGTCAATGTAAGTCAAAGATTACTATTGTTTTAGCTCTTTATGGTACCCAGTATTGTTCTAGTAACAGAGCAAAAAGGCAGAAAAAAAACACAATCTTTTTGAGAGAATGTTTGGGAAAGGAGAAAGAAGGCATGGTTCCTTAAATAAATAGGCCTCTGTCGTAAGACAGAATGTTAAGTGTTACCAGAGAACTAGAGTGTTTATTTTTCATGTGAGCATGATGACACCAAAGCACTTGTAAAGCTATTAATCAGAAAGAGAAGATCTGGTCAAGGTAGTATGGGGATGTTAGCCTGTAACAAGCTGGTCGTGGGGAATAGAAGGAAAATTTGTTCCTTTGTGTTAATGACTCTCAGAGGTTTTTACAGAATAGTTAGATCATTCTACTACATAACATTTTCTGCCTGAATCTTTAAGGACTGAAAAATTGTAAGAGGAAACAGAGTATTTTCTCTACTTAATTTTAAGCCAGCAGATAAAGTTTCATGCCAGTAGAGTTACCTTCAGGATAAGAGAAAGTATTATGCCAGAAGCCTTCACTTGAGATCCTTACAGACTTTGACCAGGGGTAGAAAGATTCAGAGCAGTTGAAAGAAATGTTCCCAGCCTGATTTGGAGAAACAGTGGTAGATTAAGCAGCAACTGAGAGCAAGTGAAGAATACCAAGTAAGATGTCTAGCTGTGTCGAGTGTGTTAGAATGCATTAAAATTTTACTCTAATTTGAGTTTTTTAATTATATTTAAATATCATATTCTTAGATGGTTGTTCCTCACTGTTACATTAGAATACTTTTCTTAAAAAATAATTTGGTTGAAAGAATGCTAACATCTATGACTTTATGCAAATAGTGGCTAGGGAAGGCCTAGCTATTGAGACCGTAAGACCATAATCTAGGCTTCCACTTATCCTAAATGTGGGCTGCAGATCACTGGACATACCCTGAGACCTTTCAGGGGGTCTACAAGGTCAAAGCTATTTTTATGATAATACTAAGACTTTCCACCTTTTTAACTGTGTTGACATTTACACTTATGCTGCAAAAGCAATGGTGGGTAAAACTACTGAAACCACAGTAAGATCCATGTCAGGGGCAACACATAGTACTAATAGTGACTTTCTAAATCTTCACTGAAGGTAACAAACAAGCAAGCAAAAATGCCAGTTTCACTTATGAATGTTCTTAATGAATCAAAATAAATTATTGATTCTAATAAATCTAAGCCATCAAATACATATCTTTGTAATAGTCTATATGATTAAATGGAAAGTACACTCAAAGCACTTCTGCTGCATAATAAAAAATAATGGTCGCCTTATAGAAAAGCACTTGTGTGACTGAGTTGTGAGCTGAACTAGCCATTTATTGCTTCATGAGTCACCATATTCACTTGAAAGAACAACTAAAAACAAACTGTGGCTATTCAGAGTTGGGTAATTAGTAGACATTTTCTTGAAAATGAGCCTATCACTTCAAGGAAAACTGAAAGTATCTGTACCAATGATAAAATTTGAACTTCTAAATGAAAATTAAAATTTTGGAAGACTTGTATATGCTACCATGAGCTCATTGCTTTTAACCAACACTAATAGACTTTTCTGATGAGATTGGTGGTGTTATTGACAATTTTTTTTTATATTGTGTAATGAAATGTGTCAACATTTGGAAGCTCTGCATAATTCAGTGACCCAATATTTTCAAATGACCAATGCCTGATGTTACAAAATCATGTATGAGAAAAAGATCCATTAGAATTGCAAGATAGACCAATGACTTTTAATGCAACAGTACAAAAATTCATTGTGTTTTCTAATTCTACATTGCAACTAACTTTTAAAAAACTTCTACCTTTAAAAAAAACCACTTGTCAAGTTTTGTTGTAGCATCAAAGGAAAATACCCACAATAATCTGAAAAGACTATTAAAATACTCTTTCCTTTTTCAGCTGTATAACTGTGTAAGCCTGAATGTTCTTCATATATTTCAGCCAGAATAACATATAGTATGGAATGAATGTAGAACAGATATGTAATTCCAGCTGTATAGTACAGCAAACATTAAAGAGATTTACAAAAATGTAAACTAGTGTCAGTCTTCTCACTAATTACTTTTGTTTTATAAAATGTATTTTTATGAAAAAACTATAATGGGTATATTACTGTTATTTTACACAAATTAATAAAAATATATTAAATTCTATTTTAATTTCCAATATAGTAAATATCAATAGTACATAAATAAGTTTTATGGGGTACCTATTCATTTTTAAAAGTGTAAAGGGATACTCAGACCATAAAAACTTTGAAGATCACTAGAGTATTTGAGATAAAACAGAACTTAAGTAGCTTTCTAAGGACAAGATGAATAGATATGATTCTCTGAAAAGACAAGGATTTTTAGAGTTCTTCTCATGAAAGATTCAAAATTTGAATAAAAGTCTCTAGGATTTACTGTTTTCTTCCTGTCATTTACGGTTTAGAAGTCACTATGAAGAGGGACAAAAAGAGTCAGTTTTACTGGAACATCCTAGCTTCACCTTTTGGGCCACAAATGTGCTATGTTATTTAGCCATGATTCTTGGTACAAAGTGGCTTTTTATTTGGATTGCTTGTGGGTCAGTTTCCTGTTGGAAAAGCAAACAGGGTTGATGAGTCCCATGTCTCTCTTTTCCCCAACTCCATCCTGCGTTCCAGCCAAAAGGAAGACTTATTTTTTTATTCTTTAGTCAAGGCCTGCTTGGTCATATCCAGGTCGGGGCTTGTGCTGTTTCCTCAGCCCTTGTACCATTTTCTGATTCTACCAAGGCTCTGCTCAGTCACCATTTCTTCTGGGAGGCTGTCTTCAAGACCCAGATTGGAATTTGTTAGCACCCACTTTTCTCTACAAAGTGCCTTTTTATTTGGATTGCTTCCCCTGTCCCAACTCTTAGGGTACTCTCCTGTGACAGTCCTCTTCTTAATGATTTATATACTTATCTATTAACCTAGGGATCCAAAACTTTTGAGGGTGGTGACTTTGTCTTAGTCATATTTGTTAACCTAGCACACAGTATCTTGCACCTAGCAGTGTTTACTTACTTGAATTTCATGAATACCCATTCAATCTGTATCCAATCTATCTTTCTGCCTCTGCTTTTAATAACGGTTCTATTTATTCTCCTTAAACAGTTTGCCCCTGCTCCTCAGTGGTAGCTGAGAGGCAGCATCCAGTCCTGGTCACTGATAAAGAGATCTTGTGACTGTTGAGGACAAATGTGGGGATCTATGTCTATAGAAAGAGAAATTATCACCCTTCTTTGATGATTATAACAACACTAGTATACATATAGCGCTACTAGCATCACTGGGAGATTACGTTCAGAAGTTCAGATTTAGATGAAATTTATAAAATTAAAAAATGAAGATATTGAATATTTTTTGTCTTGATTCTTTTGCTATTTGTTTTGTTTGTTTCTCTTTTTAAGTATTAGGAATTCTCTTATGGGACCTATTTCTCTTAGGAAGAAAATAAATTACCCCCTTTAGAGAATAACATAATATTTGAGTGACTATAGTACACATTACCTTTAGAGCATTTGAGATTAAAAATACCACATATGCTCTTTCTAGAAGTGCGGTCCTTT